ACTAATACTAATAACTTTATATTATAACTACTAATAATACTAATAACTTTATAACTACTACTAATACTAATAACTTTATATTATAACTACTACTAATACTAATAACTTTATATTATAACTACTAATAATGCTAATAACTGTATATTATAACTACTAATAATAATACTAATAACTTTATATTAGTACTGCTAATAATATAATAACTTTATATTGTAACTATTAATAATACTAATAATATTAATAACTTTATTTGAGATAATTTCACCACATTAAAACATAAAGGTGCTATCAGCTGACTCCACCCACTCAGTTTGTCCAATCACATCAAAGATAAACAAAGATGAACAGATATAAACACAATTGCTCTGCTGCAGGAACGCAGACTAACAGACTGACCTTCTGATCTTTGGAAGATCTTTCTTCTTCTATTCCTTAATACTGATGCGTTTTTTGGATTTACTGGTTCCAGTGGTGCTGATCTTGGTGGCCCGGTCCTGGTGGTTCCGGTCCTGGTGGTTCTGGTCCCAGTTACCTAGGACATGGAGCGTCGTCAGAGTCTGGAGGAGCAGCTCAGGTGTCCTGTCTGTCTGGACGTCTTCACTGAACCACTGATGTTACAGTGTGGACACTCCTACTGCAAGTATGACAGAAGGATGAGACACACCTGTCCTGTCCTCACCTGTCCTGTCCTGTCCTCATCTGTCAATACAATTAAATTTTATTTGTATAGCACCAATTCATAACCGAATCCCAGGACACTTTTCAAATTGAACAGGTCCCGACCGTACTTTAATAATAATGTCCTCACCTGTCCTTACCTGTCCAGGTGTTGTGTGCACTCTATGACGATGGACCTGCTCGGTCAGCTGCAGTGTCCTGTGTGCCGCTGTGCTGTAGACGGAGACAGTCCTCCTCCTAACGTCAGTTTGGCTCGAATCATTGAGGCTCTGCAGGTAAAAATACCTGTGATCAGTTTACCTGTCGAACAGTTCAAATCATCTGACTGAAATTTTTATAATTAAAATATTTCTTCTGACAGGAAGTGAGTGTTTCAGGAGGAGCTCAGCCGGAGTCGTGTCCTCAGCATCACAACCCGCTCAGCCTTTACTGCGAGGATGAACGAATGGTGATCTGTGGCCTTTGTGGAAGTATTGGTGCTCACCGTGGACACAAAATCACACCTGTGAGCTCAGTCTACAGCCACATGAAGGTAGGAAACAAACACCTGTGAGCTCCGTCTACAAGTGTTGTTGACTAAGTGTAGATAAGCAGCCATATAAACTGACATCGTATCACCAATCAGGAGTTTAATGTTCCACACAACCCTAATGTCACCTTTAAGTTTCCAGTTTATCAACAATAAGGTCACATGTTGTTCAAGAATGTTCAAGTCCATCAAAAATAATAATTTGTTTCATACTCCCTTCTCGGGTAACTTTACTCATCAAATTTGTTCTCAGTTATCTTTTCTTCATCAGAGTGATGTTATTTTCATGACCATGTAATAATACACGCTGCACACTGTTATTGCTGTGACCTTCACCATCGCCTGCCCTCTGGTCGCCGTTTTAGGTCGGCCCAAAAACAGTTTGGTGAAGAAAATGTCTGCGGCTGTTTGTTCTTTATTATTGGGATCATCAGTTTCAAACAACAAGAGCTTAACGTGTGATGGTTTAAAGGACCCATGAGGCCCAGTTGGGCATAACTTTAAACTGTTTGGGCCCACCCTCTAATCTGACTACACCAATCAGAACCATCTGAGAAGTCGTTGATGACACACAAAAATACTCATCTGTCAATCAGTATATATCACAGATGGACTTCAATCAATCAGATCAATGAACCTTATAACATAGTCAAACTCTTCCTGAAGTTAATTCAATTCAATTCCAATTTTATTTTGTAATAGCACCAATTATAACAAGAAAGTTAATCTCAGGGACACTCTTCAAATAGAGCAGGTCTAGACTGAATCCTATAAACCATTATTTCAAGAGACCCAACACTCCACCATGGACAAGCACTTGGGCCAACGGCGGCAAGGAAAAACTTCTTTTTTAAGAGGCAGAAACCTAGAAACAGTAAACAGTGCAAATGGAAGTAAAACAGTGTAGATGGAGGTAGAAATTGTCCATTATCTATTATTCTATTGTCCTCCGTGCCTTTACTGAGAGTTGTTGTACAGTCTTATGGCCAGGGGGACGAAAGAGTTTTTGGTGTTGGTGGAGCTGGACTGGGACAGCAGTCTGCCACTGAACACACTCCTCTGCCTGGTGAAGGTGTTGTGCAGAGGGTGGTGGGTGTTGTCCAGTATGGAAGGAAAGCAGATATAATTTGTCCAAGAAAAGTCATTCCATCCTGCAACAACACAAACTGTCACAACAGAGAGTCCAGCTCTTGTGCCCCACCATCGAGACAGCTCTCCATCCCACCCAAGTCTTGCCTGCCTTCTACCCACAGCAAACATCAGCATTAAGAGGCACGCTCGAAGCCACCACAAGACTGGTAACACATCCTGCACCGAAGTATTTCTTGCAGATGCTCTGAAAGGAATAACCCAGCCTTCTCAGAGAGCATACAGAATGGCTCTGCACCTTTCACATGTGGAAAGTGTTCCATTAATTTCGGCTGTTTCAGTCCAAGCTTGTGTCCAGCTGACACGGCCCCAGAATAATATAAGATAAGATCTTCCTTCAATGAAGTACCACGCACCCATCTCTTGGTCCATTGAGAAGGTGTTGAAGCTGCAGATGGTTGGACTGCACCGACCTCAGAACGTCCTCCGACAAGATGCTGACGCTGATACGCTACCCCCTCCAATACAGGCTAACTTGTTGATTTGACATAGCTAAAATGGTGCATTTCTGCCTCCTTTAGCGCCATTTAAGATATTTGGAGGTTGTGTTTTTATTTATTTAAAAAAAATATGTTTATTTTAAAATATCTTTGAACAGGTTCCCGCCTAGTGATGTCAGAAATCAAAACCTGCAACCATCCATTTTCCTTTGATGTCTAATTTAAAGTAAATACCTCATGTGACGCTATCAGAGGCGGCTATTTGAGGGCCACCATGGTTAGACTCCTGCCAGACTCCTGACACCGTCTGCAGCAACCCAGCATGCCTTTCTTTGAGGGGAGAGCAGGTTATCAGACACAGCAATGATGACCTGATAGCAAAAATCTCTGAGGCAAAGGAGACCTTGCTCCAGGACTTGGAGAACATAAGAGAAAGAGTTTTAAGTATCTCTCATAAGACAGAGAAGTGTGGGGATGCAGAAGTGAGATGGGCCCAGGACCCAAAGTAAGGAATCTGTTCAGAATGAGGGGAAAACACTCTGTGAAGACACAGATGAAGACTCTGTCCCCTTCATAGTCAGTCCACAAAGAGGGGCGATAGTGAGGTCAGCTCGCCTGAGGGTCACAAAACCGCCTGAATCTAAGCAACACGTGAGCGCCCTCGCCTGTAGTTTGACAGACCTGAAAGACGGGTCTGCAGATTTAAATGGGAGCAGGCCAGAGGACGACAACAATCTGGACGTCCTTCCAACCTGCAGTGAGGTGGAGGAGGATGATCTAGGCAGGGTGTGAGCAGGATTCCTAGAGTCTCCAAAATGAGAACGGGAGCCAGAGTCCCTTTTCCCTGTTATAGTGAGTTTTTCACTCAGAATGGAGGGTCATATGCTGTACAGATTGTGATTTCTGATATTGGCCTGTATGAATAAAATAGACGGAACTTGGTAAGCCCTAGGTAAGTCAAGATAATTACATCAGGCTATAATGACTGGCTGCTGTCACTGCAACAGGCCATAGTGTGCTGTGCTGTGCTGTGCTGTGCTTATGGCTGTGGTTGTGGTTGTGGTTGTGGTTAGGTTATTCCTGAACTCCTCTGGCGAATATTGGTAAGACGTGTGTCCATCTGGTGGAAGTACCAGGTTCGTATACTGGTGGGAGTGTCCGGCTTTACAACGCTGTCTTGGCCAATGACACCATCTTAGGTGCTGAGACATTTTTCTCTGTTCCTGTCAGGACTGCAACTAATGATTAATCTGTCAATCATTTCATTGATTAATCAATCAGTTGTTTGGTCCATAAAATGTCAGAGAATTGTAAAAAATGTCTCACTAGTTTCCCAAAGATCAAGCTGTCGTCTTCAAATCTCTCGTTTTGTCCAAACCCAAAGATATAGTTAGTTTACTTTCACAAAGGACTAAAGAAACTATATGAACTATGTGAAAATATTCACATTTGATAAGCTGAAATCAGAGGATTGCACATTATTTCCTTAAAAAAAAGACTCAAAGCTATGAATGAATTATTAAAATAGTTGGCGATTAACAGTTGATAACTAATGCTAGTGTTCTTTTTAACCTAAAGCATCAATATGTTTTGCCTTCTGCACAAATATAAAAGAAAACACTTTTATTCAATTTATTTTAAAAAAACAATAAAATCAACAAAACTTGAACAAAAATGACAACGTAGAAAATGTAAGGCCCAGGTTCCTCAGTCAAGTCGCATTCTTATTTTCCACAAAGTTTGTGAGTTCTGCTTTAAACTGGTTAAACTCATTGTCTCATAGCTTTTAAGCAGATTGTTGTTTAAGAGAGGAACAAATAGGCGGACCTTTTACTTTAAACAATGAACAGTTTGTAATCCCAACCATCAGGGTAAATCTCATATCACACTGGAGACAAGGGTTCCCAGTATAATGCACAATAAATGCTGACAGTGACTATTTAACCAACCTCAAGATTCTTCTTTTTTATTGTCTCATTTAAGCAAGATAAGATGAATTCAGGCTGATTAAATAAGAAAACCGTTTTTTTACCACTTTGAATCACACTTTTGACCCCCCTCTGGTTATCTAAATGGGGAATATGGAATTCTGCATGTTCTTTTCTTTGTTTAAAACCACCTAATCAAGCCTAATATACAGTGCCAGAGTAAACCCAGCCTCAGATGCCTTTGTGGAGCTGGATTCAATCTAGTGAAAACATTCATGAATACAAAAGCATCTTTAATCAATGATGACAGTCGGGAAACAAAAAGTATTAAAAAACACACTAGTATTACGTGATTACTCAATCGTACAGCACAGTGAAATTCCTCTGTTTCATTTCCATCTGTGAGCAAACAGGGAAATGTCATTTGCAGGATGTTAAAGACACCGGAGGCTCGGTCCAGACAGAATGGTCAAACCGACACCACGATCAATCATGTTTCCCCTCGGAAGCCGCTCGCTGAATGTTGGGATTGAGCTGTGGGGATGAGGCACACCAGAGTGGTGTCTACGTGGGGGGGGGGTAAAGTGTATGAGATTGGCTGAGGCTGTATTTGCCTGTTTGTGGAGAGAGGTGTATGTGGTTGCATGCCTCAGACAGCTTGGAAGCAGTGTAAAAAGTCCACAGTCTCCCAAAGGCCGTGTGTGTCTGTGTGGTGCGAGGACACAAGGACGCCTCTGAAGGGGTTTACCTTAATGACATTGCAACCTCAGTTCAGAGTTCCATGTTTCCTCTCGCAGGCCAACATGCACTGCTGTTTCTGCCGAGGAATTGAGTGCTGCCTTCTTTCTGAGGAACAGAAGACATAGCATCCGTCTCTTTCACACTTTGTCCAAATGTGTCTTCCTGTACGATAATACTGAGTAATGAATATTTAGATCAACTAAACATGTTTTGCTGTCCATTTTGTGTCTCACAGGGGTGCAAGCCTGCTATTGCAAAATGGATGTATCCTGTTAACCCTGACTGGCACAATAGACCCTAACTCCCCTTCCAGATGTTTTAGTCAGACAGAGACGGTGAGCGCAGCGACCTGCCGCTGGCAGGGCTGTTGCTGTAGGCGTGGGAGTTGTCCCTCTCTCTGTCCTTCTCCTTGTCTTTGCTTTCGTGTTTGTGCTTATGCTTGTGTTTGTGCTTGTGCTTCTTCTTCTTCTTCTTGTGCTCGTGGTGGTGGTGGTGATGGTGGTGGCCGTGTTCACCGCCGTGTTTGGAGGACAAAGAGGAGGTCTCTTTGGAAAAGGACGGCACCGGTGTGGCGGGCATGGAGAGCATGGACTGCTCGACTGATGGCGGCTCTTTACCTAAAAAGAGAAACAGGACAAGTGTGTGTGTCTCCAGGTTTTTTTTTATTTCTTTTTCAGAATGATGTAAGAAATATTCTGTGTGGGTGTGTGTGGGTGTGTTTACCTGGTGTAGAGGGTCTCTCTAACAGATTGAGATGATGGTGAATGAAGGCCTGACTATCATGAACAGTCTCCATATCGATATCTTCCTCTTCCATGGTGTTGAACTACAATGAACCAGAAATACACATTAATACCAGATAACGGTAATAAATGAATTGCTATATTTTGCATGCAAATGTTGTATCGATACACAAACGCCAAGAATCAATTTTAATTCACTTTTATTATATAAATTATCAATATTGCAAATACGAATTAAACATGTTGGTACAAGAATAATTAAATGAATGGCTTTTTTGCTATCAGGTCACATTTATGACAGCTTTTTATATAATGTAGGTCTGTCTGCTCGACAATGCCATTTTGATGCAATAAAAGATTGTTGTTTGATGAACAAAATAAAACTTTATCTTATTAGATAAAAAAGTTGAGAAGGTTTTCCTCTTGGGACATCATTTGTTTACAGTCGGGAAAAAATATGTTATCGCCGTACTCAGCATACCGCAAAAAGTTTAAAATGGCATATCACATCATGACATAATAATAACATAATAATAATAATAATATCGTATCGTGACTTAAGTATTGTGATAATATTTTATTGTGATTTAAAGGTCCAGTGTGTAACATTTAGCAGGATCTATCGTCAGAAATGGAATATAATATTCATAGGTATGTTTTCATTAGTGTATGATCACCTGAAAATACATTTTTTTGTGCATTTCTTACATTAGAATGAGTCATTTCTATCTACAGAGGGAGGGTGTCTTCATCTACAGAATCCACCATGTTTCTGCAGTACTCAGACAGAACAGATAAAGCAAACACTGGCTCTACATTCAAGATACTGCTACATGCCCACCATGCTGCCAGTGGCTCAGTCCCTTCCTATATCCAGGACATGACCAACACAAACCCCCGAGCCCACTACGTGCTGCTACTGCCAATCAACCTGCTATTCCTTCACTACAAACAGAAAGTCCAGACTGTGGTTTGTCCTGGCTCCACAATGATGGAAGGAACAGCAAAAACTCATCCGTACAGACTGCACCTTGGCCAATGAATACAAATAAAATAAATTCAAAGTGATCAAAATTGTATCAAGTGTGATGTACTTGTGTGATTTGTGCACTCTTTGGGTTTTATCCACATTATCCGCTGCCTGCAGGTGGCCAAAACATCAATGAGAGCTGATTTGAAGATAATCTCCGGGACCAATAGTCCCTTGCCTTGCTGTTATTGTATCATCTCCAAACTAATCTGTGTGTAAAATGGAGGAGTCTAGTAAAAACAGTAAGAGAGCTAACTAATCATACACACAAATACGATTCAAACATCTGATAGTGATGATACAAAGATGTGTGTTTGACCCAGAGAAAGAGAATCAGACAGATGTAACATTAGCTGATAACATTACACTCACAGCCACACAAGTGTCTGTCGTCATTGCCACTTAGACCACAGTTACCTAAACAGGTACATAGAAGTTATCATTACAAGTAAGCCAGCTCTTCCCCCAATTCCAACATCAGAAAGGGGAGTTCAGACATTAACTCAACTCACACACATAAAGTATGGCTACTGATTGGTGTTTGAAGTGGTCATGTAAGGTGAACCAGCTCCATATAATCCATTTACTGCACCACAGGGGAGGAGAGAATGGCACTGTGGCACAGGAGGTGACCAGAGATACACTGTCAATCTATGTGCACTATGAAGAAGACCCTGGGAGGATGAGGCAGAGGGACATAGACGAGTGCCTTGCTTTTATCTCCACTCAGTCATAATGTGTGCATGTAAAGAGACATTTATGTACTGCTGTCTGATTTTCAGGGTTGTTTTCTTGTCTCTTGTCTCTTTCACAGCATGCACAGGAAAACCACAGCGCCACACAAAGCAGTGCAGTGACAGCGAGTGCTGTATGGTAATGACTCCACTAAGTAAAGTCCAGCACAGAGGCTCTTTAACACGCAGGTATTGATACCATTTACAGTGTTTGTTGCGAAAGTAACCCTCTCCTGTAGATAAACATCAGACAAGTGTTTCTAACCCTCCTACAAGCTCCTGGCCAACGACAGTAATACCATACTCTAATGATAATCCCTGCAGTCAAAGTTGGAGCAGGGCAGAATTCAGCTGCACACACGGATTTGTGGTGGTATGCAATGTGTTATCATGCACATGCTGTTGGGGAAGTGTTTACCAGTGGAACATATTGCACCATATCTAGATCTATTGAAACATGTCGAAACTGAAGGGAAAAAACGCCAGAAATATAAAATTGCCATATTAGCTCTGTTTAATATGCTGTTATGCTGCAGCTGCAACTCTCAGTTGCTGGTTGTCATAGTAACATAACACGCTTTCCGGCTCAGGAGGTTTTCATGAGCTCAGCAGTCAGAAAGATAGTGACCCTCAGAGCAGCAGTGCAAAGATCTGACACAGAGCTTAAAGAAGTGCTGATACATCTCAACTCAGTCTGACTCTACTCTACAGTTAGCGGTGTAACGGACAGGTTTTGTTCCACTGTCGGTTCCCAGCGTCTTACATGTATGATGTGGCTATGTTCTCCCTGGTATACATAAAAACAAGAGGATAAAGCTCCTGCAGTGGAGTCAGTCCTGCGGGTAGTGTGCTCTCCCTCTCCCCACATCAATAGCATCAAGATACCTGCAACCGTTTTTGTTGTTTTGTTTGCTAGTGCGTTAAATAGAAACTCATTGTTTATTATTATTTCTGTTGAAACATTTTTAAGTTAAATATTGATGTGAAAAACTGCAGAGCTGGAGTGATTGAGTATTGTACAACCTTGTGTTGTGTAATGATAGAAAAAATGTCCTTGATGTAAAATATAATAAAAAATGATAACATCGGTGTATATATGCATGTTATACTGCAGGTTGGGTGGCTCCTTCTTCGTTTGAATGGGTGTCAGAGAGCTACTGCACCAACTGCTGATTAACCCGCAGCTGAAAATAGTCCCCAACAAATGCACTTGTCTCGTGTTTGAGTACGGTTGGCTAAAATCTACAGTGGCCAGCTTTACTGAGCCTTAAAAAAATAAACTATACATTTTAAAGCCAATTTTAAAGATTTACATCTTCAGCAGGAACCAATGGGATCCAAACGTTGAGAGACAGACGAATACATTGTTGGTTTTGATCTTTAAATGGGATTTGTTGACAATAAAAACAAACTATAGAATAGCACAAGCGCTGTCCTTTAAACTGTGCCTGGGAGCAACAGGTGATGCTTTCTCTGCTAGCTGTACAGAGTTAATACCTAGTGCCCAGTGCTGTCAGCATTGGCATATGCTTAATAAAAACAAAACCGTTTTCAGTCTATCCAACCTTTGAAAAGTGCCTTCTACCAGCCCTCTTCTGCAGGAAGGTTAAAGGTCAACCAGAGAAGCACCTGCAGCCTGCTGATGATTCAGCACAAAGGAAAGTGAAAATGCAACTTCTGTTGCAGAGATCTGACTGCAGGCTCACTGGGTGACACTTTGTACACAGAAATAACATCTGCTTTGTGATCTGCCACGGAGAGTGTGAATACTGTGTGATAGTACAAGAGCTCGCAGGCAGCCTTTGGAAACGTTCTGTAAGCTTGGTGAATATCAAAGGTTAATGGTTTTACAGCTTGCTTTAGTTAAACATCAGATCCTGTGCTCCAACCTAGTAGCTCATAAAGAGGGCTGACTTGTTGGGAGGACCTTGAACTGAGGGTAAAGCACTTAACAGTGTGTGATGTGAAACCTTTACGACTATCTCACACACACGCACAGTTCCACAGAGAGAAAAAAAGATACATCCCAATGATGTTGTACATTTTCACACCAAGTATGGGACGTTTGTGCCACGGCTATGAAGAGAAGCATTTCTGCTGATCCACTCTCAGAGTTCTGTGTGTGCTCTCTTGAAGTTTACATCCTCTCTCACACCAACTGCTTGAAATAATCTACTCCAAGAGAGTCCAGAGATTGTGACAGTCCACAGTACACCTCAACAGCAAGGGTTGTGCAATGAACTTTAACAGTTCCTCAATGAATTTAACAGCACACACACTTGGGGCTGGTTATCAGTGTGTTTTTGGTACTGACTGAAACAGCACTCAGTATTGAAAGCGGTGAAGTACCAAAAGTTGATACTGTGTGGCTTTGTTTACTTATTCAGTGATCATACGCTTTGTGATTTAAATAAACATTTTGTTAGCCATCGATCTAGAAAAAGGTCTATATTTTTCAAAGAAAGCTTTCAGAAGGACCATTTTGGAACTGCTACAGAAACTCAGGAGACTTTTTTCCAGTTGATCATGTATTGATTTATTGCCATTATTATTGTTATTATTATTGTAACACATAAACAAACAGAGAGCCAACGAATGCTGGCACATCATTGTGCTCCACATTATTCTCTTCTTCGCTCTAAAACCCATTTCCTCCTTCAACTCTCCCATAACTTGCTCTAGTATGTTTAGTATGACAGTATTACGTGTCTAGTGTTTTCCTGTGCGTTGCAGACATTAGTTTTGAAGTACATTAATCATGGTGTGTGAAGTCTCATATGTCCTGTTTCGCTACATACTGAGTGACAGCTGCTGAACGTGGAAACATTTAGCCTTGTGTTTATTGCTTGAGGAAGTTATAGGCTTACAGAATGAACACAAACTACACAGAGCTGCCACTTCATCAAGCATCATGGTTATCATTAACTGGCTGAGACCAAAACAATGTAGCTTCAGCACGACAGCAACTCGCTAAAAAGGACAGGAAGTGGTTTCCTCATTGGCTCCACCCTAGCAGCTAACCACTCGTGTGCTGACAGAGGAACCAGCTGTGTGTGTGTGTGTGTAACCTGTATATTATTATTTGTGTTTGTGGTTTCAGAAGTGACCTCCATCAACACAATCTTTAAGTCATAAATAGGTCTCTAATTCATATACCACTCTTCAACGTTTTTGCCACTTCTGCAAACAATGTATTGTAATGAGTGCTACAAAGCTGTGAAACAAAGACCAAACGAATGAGCACTAAATAGAGAAAAGATGGGAGAATGTAAGCAGACAAGTTATGCTCAGTGGAGTGTAAGAAGGAAATAGACACCCACAACAAGTTTTGTTTGTTGT